GATGTAGAGGAAGCCACACCGGGTACAGCGGATGCAGTATACCACATTGGCAGATGTGCAGGTGAACATCTGCTTGATGTGGAAAGTCTTCTTGGGGCCTGGGATGGGGGTGAGGGAGGAGGTATGGGGGCAGGTGTAGCACTTCCTGCGGTTGCAGGGAAAAGTGCCGGGTGTGGTGGAGCTGGAGGGGAGTGTGGAGCGGACAAGGGAGTCACGGAGAGAGTTGTCCCTCTGGAAAGCAGATAAAGGTGGGGAGGGAAAGATGTCTTTGGTGGTGGGGTCGGATTGCAGATGGCGGAAGTGTCGGAGGATGATGCGTTGGATCCGGAGGTTGGTGGGGTGGTACGTGAGGATGAGGGGGATTCTTTTTTGGTTTTTATTGCGTGGACGGGGTGTGAGGGATGAGGTGCGGGAGATGTGGGAGACACGGTTGAGGGCGTTCTCGACCACTGAGGAGGGGAAGTTATGGTCCTTGAAAAACGAGGACAACTGAGATGTACGGGAGTGGAATGCCTCCGATCAGTTCGGTGGGGCAGGAGCAGGCGGAGACAATGGGTCGACCAGGGCATTCAGGTTTGTGGATTTTGGGAAGGAGATAGAAGCGGGCAGTGCGAGGTTGGGGAACGATGAGGTTGGAGGCCGTGGGTGGGAGGTCACCTGAGGTGATGAGGTTGTGGATGGTTTGCGAGATGATGGTTTGGTGCTCAGGGGTGGGCTCATGATTAAGGGGGCGGTAGGAGGTGGTGTCGGAGAGTTGGCGTCCGGCCTCGGCGATGTAGAGGTCAGTGCGCCATACTACAACTGTCTTGGGTTTGCTGCACTGCTCTAGCAAAGCTCAGTGCAAGATAGAAGAGCAGCACCTCATTTTCCACTTGGGAACTGATCAGCCTTCTGGACTCAATATAAAGTTCAACAGTATAGGGCTTGAGCGCCTTCTCCCATGTTCTTACCCCCACACACCAGACCTCACTACCACAACCATCCCGTTGTCAGTTACCAATGGTCCCAATTAGGCAGCTATTGATTCCCCCAGGCTGACCTTTATCTATTCCTTTGTATGCCAGCCGTTCATCTCTCTCTCTGGGCTCCACTTCCAACAATCGTTGACTCCTTCCCCACTCCCCCAGTTCCACCCTCAGCGTATCTACCAACCTTTTCCTGGATACAATCAGTTCTAAAGAAGGGTCGCTGGACCCAAAACATTAACTCTGCTTTCTCTCCACAGATGCTGCCAGACCTGCTGAGTGTTCCCAGCAATTCACAAGATTATTGTTTTTTTTTGCCTGTTTGAAAGGAGGAATGAGATCTGTGCTGCTGAGTTGAAAGGTACACATTGGGGTGTGTGCTCATGTACTGAGTGTTTGGTTTGGTAAGGCTGGATATGTTGTTGCACAGATTATGATGTGGAGGTGCCGGTCCAGGACTGGAGTGCACAAGGTCAGAAATCACACGACACCAGGTTATAGTCCAGCAGGTTTATTTGAAATCACAAGCTTTCTGCCGGGTGACTTCTGACTTTGCACAGATTGTGAAACAGGGAGCTATTTTGTTACAGGGTTGTAGGGTCCAATTAGGAGCCTCAGCTCCAACACGTGGATTCTTCTAAATATTTATGTAACTTGTGGTTTATAAAGAGCCGGAATCCACAAGTAAAAGAGGAGTGGAAGACAGGGCGCTTTCTGCGTGTAAATGGAGCCGGTCCCGGGGCGTATGCTGAGCTGCCCGCTCTGCCTCCGCCTACTCCGGGAGCCGGTCACCGCCGCCTGCGGGCACTCGCTGTGCCGCCGGTGTGTGAGCCGGAGCCGGGGCTGCCCGGTTTGCCTGGAGCCGCTGGGGGACGGGCTGCAAGGGAACCGGGTGAACGTGCTGGCCGGCGGGTTACTGCACAAGTGGTTCCCCGAGGAAGGGCAGCCGAATCCGGTCACCGAGTCCGGTAAAGGACCGATCTCACAGTCCCAGCCGGTAGGTACAGGTTAAAAGAAAAACACGAAGAGAACAGGATTATAATCACCGAGTCTAAATATAAACAGAACCTCAAGCACCAGCTTCTGCAGGACGTCAGTGTAGAATTTCCTAGGGAAATGAACAGCCACTTTAAGGCGTCTCTCTTGGATCACTGTAAACACATCAGCAATATAACAGGAGGAAGAGAGTCCCTTCTACCTGCTAATCGGACTCGTACAGCAAGTGACGGCTTTTTCGGCCCATCGTGCCCATACAAGCCCTTAGGAAAAACTGCCTTGAGCTACGGATGAAAGTGAAAGAAAATTTTGCATTTCTGTTAAATAAAGAAAAAGATCTTGCCTTAAGTGTTTTTCAGGACAACTAGGCGTCCCAAAACAAAGGTTGTATCCTTGACTGCAGAGATGGGGGCGGGGCTCCAATTGAGCTATATAAGACTATGAGGCACACCTATAGGCTGGATAGAAAGCTGCTGTGTCCCTGGGTTGGAGAATCAATAACAAATGGGGCATAATTTTACAAGTGAAGGGAAGGATGTTTAGAGGGGATTTGAGGAAAAGGATTCATTCAGAGGGCAGTGGGAATCTGGAATGCTGCGACTGGGAGGGTAATAGATGCAGGAAACCTCACAATCTTTACAATATGAACACTTGAAATGTCAGAAATTTCAAAGATAAGGGCCAAGCGCTGGAAAGAGGGATTAGTGTAGATGGGTCGGTGCAAATGTGATGGGCTGAAGGGCTTCATCTTTCCTTTATGTGTCTATGACAGAATTCCTCAGTTGAAGAAGGGCTGCAACAGACTTCAAACATTAACTCTGTATCTCTGCCCACAGATGCAGATGATGCCAGATCTGCCGAGTTTCTCTTTGTTTTAGATGGCTGCAAAATGCTTTATGACAATCATACAAAAACGCACTAAAGTGTGGGAGCAGGCCACTTGGCCCATCAAGCCGATATTAACTCTCTGAAGGGCATCCCACCCAGACCCACACCTCTACCGGCATTTCCAATAGCTAGTTCACCTAGTCTGCATATCTGTGGATGGCAATTTAGCCTGGCCGATCTACTTAACCAGCACATCTTTGGACTGGAAACCGGAGCACCTGTTGGAAACCCACATTGACATGGGGAAGAACATACAAATTCCACACAGTTGCCCAAGACTGGAATCAAACCCAGGTACCTGGCACTGTGAGGCAGTTGTGCTAACCACTGTGCCACCTCTACAATTGAATACTTTGGAGCTGTAGCCACTATTGTGGCTTGGGAGACTCCTGAAGCAGCTACCCAGTAATGACCAGAAAATCTGCCATTTTTTGCGTGGTGTTGAATAAGCGATAGAAAATAGCAGCAGAAGTAGGCCATTCAGCCCTTTGAGACTGACAAGTATTGATCAGTACAGTAGGGGGGGAGAAAATCGCCTGAATGTCTTTGAGGTAGTTCCATGGAATCCTTTACAGTTTCCTGGGCAGGAAGATGGGACAACTCTTTAATGTTTCACCTAGAAGATTATGTCTCCAAGTGTGCAGCCTTCCCTCAGTACTGCACTGAAGGGTCAGCCTTGATTTTTGTGCCAGGCTCTGGAGTGGAATTATTAGCCTTAGACAACAGTGCAACAAACTGAACTACAGCCAGTACTATGACACCTTTCTGCACCTCTTGTCTTCCCTCTATAGCCAATTAGGTGCTTTTGAAGTGTCATCAGTGATGGAACATAACTACTGTGCACACAGAATGATTACACAAACAGCAATGACTGAATAATCTCTTCTACTGACATAGTTGATATTTATTCTTTGAACAATAAACGGGAAACTAGGGAGAAGTCACCACTTTTTTTAACAGAAGTTTAATGTCTTGAGCAGATGTTAAATTAAGGCCTTGTCCACATTGATAGTTTGATGCAAAAGAGAATGGGACAATTTACGAAGCACATTTTTATGTAAAAGCACCTTGTGTGTGAAATTGTCGCCCTTGTATTATTGCTGGACTGTTAATCCAGAGGCCCAGGTAATGTTGTGGGGACCCGGGTTCGAATCCCACCATGGCAGATGGTGGAATTTGAATTCAATAAATATCTGGAAATATGAGTCTAATGATGACCATGAATCCATTGTCGATTTTCTGAAAAACCCATCTGGTTCACTAATGTCCTTTAGGGAAGGAAACTGCCATCCTTACCTGGTCTGGCCTACATGTGACTCCAGACCCACAGCAATGTGGTTGACTCTTAACTGCCCTCTGGGCAATTAGGGATGGGTAATAAATGCTGGTCTAGGCAGCGATATCCTCATTCCATGAATGAACAAAAAAAAAAATTTCATATACAGTGATTGTACCTGAACAGTAGAAATACGTGAGCTTATGTTGTGCAATCTCTGAACACTTTAAACACTGCCATTTTCACAAAAACAATGGAAATGCAAATTAGAGAAGGGGACTGAAGGGTTAATGTCACATGCACATGATAACTCTGGTTAATGTTCCTCTTACCTGTGATAACAGCCTTATGCAACATACATAGCTTTGCAAGGATATTAGTGCCTGAATATATATGTGATAGTCAAAGAGTTATATAATGACAATATCTTATAACAGCAATCAATTTCAGATCCTGAGCTGTGCCTCTGTTGAGACCCCTGGGGAGTAACTGTGTTCAAATGAGGGCAGTGCAGCCTAGGAAGGTTATATTGATTGGCATAGGTGGGGTACAGCATATATTCACTCGAGTGATGCCATGTCTAAATAGGTTAATCTATATGATCCAGTTGCATAGACGAAGCTTGTATTCACCCAAGTATAAGAGCTTAGGCAGCGATATAATTCAGAAATTTAAGTGTATCGTTATTCAGATCCTCTTCCCCTAGCTTAAAACATGTTACAAAATTGTCTAGTTCTAACATAATATTTATCAACCTGAATTGTTAAGTTTCCCTGCCAGCCCTTATTAGTTAGAACATTCTCTATTTAAATTGGCAATTTTTTTCACAGAAATAGGGGAATGGATTTTTTTTTATTAATTAATGGGAAGTGGGTGTCTCTGGCTGGCCATTATTGCCTGACCCTAGTTGCCCTTGAGAGGGTAGCGGTGAGCTGCCTTCTTGAACTGCTGCAGTCCACCTGCTAGTAAGATGGACAGTGTGAATTTCCTAGCAAAATGGTGGAAGGAGAAGTGACAAGGTGTTTGAACAAGGAAGGATGCATTAGAAAAGTTACTATTAAACACTGTTATTAAAACACTAAGTAATTCAGATATATCGGGATTAATGGCAACACTGATCTGGTGCTAGGGCATTGGAAAAGGGATATGGTCCAATCCAAGGATATCTTAAGTTTAACCTTGATCATATCTCCTCAGGGGATGGGAAAGAACTGAAAAGACAGGCAGGTTAGCTCAGTTGGTGAGTCTGCAGGCATGTGGTTTAGAATCAGGCCAATAACCCGGGTTTCGATATCTGTTCTGGGCAGTGTAAACTTTGAGCTTGCTTCCTTGCCATAGCAAATAGCAAATTAATGCATAAGCCGTGGTTCACTGACCTTGAATAATTGAGGAAGCTACCTGGAGAAGCACAAGAAATGTATTCGCTTAAATTTTCCATGGATATATACCCAGAATCTGAAATATCTCCTCATTAGTACTGGTTCCAACTGCTACATTCAACTTTTTTTTGAGTTACATCTGAATTTAGAACTGAATGATTTAATTTTATTACATTACCTCATTTGGGGTTTTTATGTACGTGGTTTTCCTGTATGAGTATTAACCTTATTCATGCCTCCCTTGCAATTTCAGCTGGCTTTGCTGCTTTATTTTTCTAATGCAGCCTTCCTTGTTCAAACACTTTGTTACTTTTCCTTACACCATTTTGTTAGGAAATTCATGCTGACCTTGTTGCAGAACACCGCCCTCCTGTACCAGAACTGCTGCCAGTTTCCAATAAGTTTCTCTTCTGGATAGTACTTGCTGTCTCTGTAAGGGGATCAAGGGTTATGGGGAGAAAGCAGGAAAATGGACTGAGAAACATATCAGCCATGATCAAATGGTAGAACAGATTCTGTGGGCCGAATGGCCAATTCTGCTCCTATTTCTCATGGTCTTATGAACTTTCCATTCTTCCCTATTGGAGCATGGGCCTGGCGATTAAATCCTGAATTCTCACGTCACGCAGTCCTGATCAAACATTGCTCCCTCATAATCTGAACTCATCCTGTTGGATAAGGCTCTGAATTCAATTATTTCTGGCCCCTTCATGGACTGAATTTACTTCTTGCATAACATTTTTCCAGTCCATACTTTTCAGAGCCACCAAAGAATCTGTAACTCAAAGTCTTCATCACCTCACCCACTGCATTTAGTTGAGGTCACTGCACTAGTGTTTGGCTGATGTGACCACTGTAGCTGATCAGCTGGGGGTATCTGTTAGCCCAGTCTAGAGGACAGCAAGCCAGACAGTAAGACAGCGTGGGGAAGAGTGAGAGAACAAGCCCAATATGGAGATTGAGCCAGCACAGGAGACAGTAAGTGAGCACGGGGGAGGACAAGTTCAATGCAGGGGAGAGTGATCCCCACTTAGAGTTGTTTGAACCCTTGTGGGGAGTGTGAGCCCTGCTTGGCTAAGCACGCAAGGTGGACTGCAATGTTGAACTTTAGCTTTATTTCTTTGTTTTTCTACTTTATACTAAGAAGGAATTTAACACTGAGCTTTTAACTGCATTCCCTTATTTTCTATTTTGTACCTAAGATATTGTACCTAAGAAGGTGCCAGGAATGGTGACATTGTACACTTTTCACTGTACTCCTGTATCCCTGTACTTGAGTACACATGACAATAAAACCTAATTCTGATTCTAGTAATCTATAGATGCAGGCTAACGCTTTGGGGACATGGGTTCAGATCTCACATAGGACCTGGTGAAATTTTAATTCAGTTAATAAATCTGGAATTGAAAGCTAGTCTTAGTGACGGTGACCATAAAACTATCGCTGATTTTGTGAAAACCCATCTCGTTCACCAACGTCCTTTTAGTGAATGAAATCAGGCTTTTTCCTGGTCTGGCTTACATGTGACTGTAGACCACAGCATGTGGCTGACTCTTAACTGCTGTGAAATAGCCTAGCAAGCCACTCAGTTTAAGGGATAATAAGAATGGGTAACCACTGCTGGCCCTGCCAGCGAAACCCATATGTTATGAATAAATAAAGAAAAAGGAAAACACTGTCCCTTGTGATTGTAAATTTTAATATTTTGCCTTTATTTCTAAGTCCAGCTCTTTATTCAAGTAAGAAAGCACATCCACTACACTTTACAGCTTTCTGTCCAGGTGCCAAAATGTATCTGTGCTTCTGCATTCCGTTTCTGACAATCCATGTAAGGAAGGTTTATTGCATTTTCTTCAACCTTTCTTTATTGTTTATCAGCAAACTATTCAACTTTCCTGGCATGACTACCCAACATAAATTTAAAGTAACTATTTAATCATTTTATGTGTGTTGTCTCTTTGTGTATGTGTGTCTTGCTCTCTTTCCCAGTGAGTGTGAAGTTTAGTTATTTTATGGCTTCTGAAATCTAGTGCACTTTCAATATTGATCGTTACAGTTTACCTGCTTTTCCTTTTTGTTGCACTAATTCCCTCGGGCCCAGTTTTTTGGGCATGTTTGCATTTTAAAATATTCGCTCTCCATGACACATCCAGAAATAACATTTGGAAAGTATAAACAAGCTTCAGAAAAAGGACAACGCTGCATCATCAGTCATAAGTCTCCAAGACACTGTGTCCTCCAGATAAACCAGGGTACTGTGTGTATTGGCTGTTTGGGTGGCAGGAGGGAAGATCATTTGGATGAATGGAGTTCATAATAGTCTGGGAGAGGACAGTACATCATAATGTGTTTTAAATTCACACTGACAGAATGTATTTCAAATTCACTAAAGTCAAACTTGCCAGAATTTCACAAATCAGGGTCTGCTTTATATCTCTGTCATTTATCCATACTAGGCAAGAACAGTGGATTATTCAAAGACGAGCAAATAAATCAGTACTTAGGATAGAGGCAAGTGGGGAAGACCATCTACCAGAAATACTAAACTTTCTCTCTCATTGCCTTATCTGCTGAGTATGTCCTTTCTTTTTCTCTTTAAATTTTGGAGGCAGTTGGATGTATTTCTGGATGGGGAATTAGGTTTGTGGATTTCTGGACCCCAAATTACTCCTCTATTCCTGCAAGATCTGTGTTCTCTATACTCTGGAAGATGGATGGAGCTGTTTGTATTGATTCATTCCAGTACACTTTATAGAGCTTTTCTTGCAGAAAATAACACCTTTGTGAATTTGAGACAGAATCTTAAGTGTAAAGTGTTTGAGAGAAATCATCAGACTTCACACATCTGGTTCCTAAGCACCTCTGCCACTGTAGGAGCGTTTTCCTCACCTCATTTCTGGGTCTGTTGTAGACCATTTGAAAGAAATTGATAACTGTGATTAGTCACCAACTCTACTCTTGTATCATGTAATTACATGGACAATCAAAGGTAAGCTAGATGTTACAGTGTGGATCAATTCCTACAACAGCTGAGGTAGCCAAATGGACTGTCTTTCTCAACCTCTCCCGGGGAATGGTGACCCTTAGGTTAAACCATTGCCATGAGTTGTCTAATGAGCTTGGTAGGACTGTGGCAACTTTACATGGCATTAGTCCAGGAATTCAACAATGCCATTAATAACAGAAGGTTGTAGATGTAGCCAGTCTAACTGATGGTTTACCTGTACCGACAGTACATCATAGAATCCATACAGTGTGGAAGCAGGCATTCAGCCCATCGAGTCCACACTGCCCCTCCGAAGAGCATCCCAAGCCAGACTCACCCCCACCCTGACCCTATCCCTGTAACCCTGCATTTCCCTTGCCTTATCCATCTAGCCTGTACATCCCTAGACACTATGGGCCATTGCTCGTGGCTAACCCATTTAGCCTGTAGTCATGATGGGCAATTTAGCATGGCCAATCCACCTAACCTGCACATCCTGTGGACTGTAGGAAGAAACCCACACAGACACGGGGAGAATGTGCAAATGCCACACAGACAATTATGCAAGGCTGGAATCGAACCCAGATCGCTGGCACTGTGAGCCACCATGCTGCCCACCTGATGACGGACAGTGCAAAATCTCTCGAGCTGAGACACAGGCAGGAATCCAGGTGGCAGGGGAAGGACTGGACAATTTAGATGTCCAGTGCAAAAGAAGTGTGGAGGATTTTGAGGTGGGTGCAAGATTCTGCTGCATTTAGGTGGACCACAACTTGAGCTGGAGCAGTGACAATGAAAATGTTCCCCTCTGCTGCTGTTTCGACCGTTGTGTCTGTTTGTTGAGGTCAGTGTGCTGCCTGGACAGTGTGTCAGATTGCAGATTCTGAGAAATGTCCAAAACGTACCTGGTGCCGTGCTAAAGCTATAACTTCTTGTACTGTCTCCTTTTTCCTCTTGTACAGAATCTGTCACTGGAGGCAACAGAGTGTTTGCAGAAAGCACAAGTGCCTTTAACGTGGAATGACTCCAGTGAGAAGTATCTGATATTTCAACCAATGGCGAGAGAGGCAACAAGCAAGCTTTCTGAAGAAAGAATACACATCTCGGGTGAAGTTTAAAATCAATGCTACAAGCTGTCACACAGCAGGACATTTGTGCATGTGTCCAGCTGTTGGGAATGCATTGTGTTGTCTATTTACAGCTCTGTTTATTAGTTAATCTAGCATTGTTTATCTGTAGGTTCTGATGAGGATAATGTCCCATATTCCTTCCACTGCCTTCAGTCTGTGCCTCCTGATCTCCTCAGCATCTCAGACTTTGAGTGCTCAGTCTGTGCAAGGTGAGTGGAATTATTTACTGAATAATTAGTGATCTACACCCAGCTGTCTCCTCTGTTGGAGACCGGCTTGATGTTGCTGGATTTCTTTTTGTTGTGTCATGGTTGGTTGGATCCCCTTCAATTGTATACCCGAGAGAAAAAGTGAAAAAAATAGAGAAGGGAGGAGGCTGCTAAGCAGTTAGAACCTGTTTGATCTATCAGTGAGACCATGTCTGGTCTCTTGGCTCCTTAACCCATTTACATTTGATCAACAAAAATGTATGAAACACAGATTTAAAACAATTAGTTTAATTAGCATTTTTCAATGTTTTGCTTAAAAGTCCACTGAATAACCTGGTTCTAATTTTGAGTCTGTTTCCAGTTTTCCTAGCCTTCCACCACCACCTGTCCCCTGGGAAAGGTGGAAAATGTTGTCTCTATTTTCTCCTTCTAAATCTTGAAAACTTTCATCGCCCTTTGTAAACTCCAAGAGTATTCCCAGTCTGTTTTGTCTAAGGTCTCTTCTTAATTTAACCTTGAGAGTTCTGGTAACATTCTGGGGATTGTACTGCACTCTTTCCAAAGCCATTATAATCCTTTTTACGATTGTGGTGTTCAGGACGGTACAGAGAACTTTAAATGTGCTGTAACCAAGGCTTTGTATACTTTTAGCAAAAGTTTCCCCCTCTCCTCACCCTTTTCTGTTTTATTTCTCTAATAATAAAGCCTAAGATTCCATTAGCTTACTGAGTGTTTTTTGTACAGGATCCCTCAATTTCCATTGTCCGTAACTTCTTATAATGTTCGAAAATATTCGGATGTATCCTTTCCTTTTGTTCCAAGTGGATAACCTCATACTTTCCTGCATTCATTTGCCACAAATTCATTCATGTACTTCTTTGCTCTTATCTACACGACTTATTTCTGTTTTCTTTCATGGGATGCATGCATCACTGGCAAGGTCAGCATTTGTTGCCTGTCCTTCGCTGCTCTTGAACTGAAATACATGTTGGGACCATTTCAGAAGGCAGTTAAAATTCAGCCAGATTGCTGTGGACCTGGAGTCACGCGTAGGCCAGAATGGGTAAGGACAACAGATTTCCTTCCCTAAAGGATATTAGTGAACTAGGTGGGTTTTTACACGATCAGTGATAATTATCATGATCACCATTACTGAGATTTTACAATTCCCAATTTTAGTAGCTGAATTTAAATTCCACCAGATCTTGTGGTGGGATTTGAACCCATTAGCCTGGGCCTCCAGGTTATTGGTACAGTGACATTACCACTGTCATACCATTTCCCCATCTTTGGGTCATCAAGAAACCTGGATATATTATTCAGATACTGTTGATATCTGAGTCATTAATGGATATTGAATAGTTGATGTTCCAGCACAGAGATTGTGGGGCACAACTTGTCATTTCCAATTATACCTATTATTCTTACTGTCCTGTTCCACTGGCTAATCTTATTAATGTTTTTGGAGGCCACATTTCTCTGCATTACCATAGCGATTATACTTCATAAATATTTAATTGGTTTTAAAGCACTGCATTAATGGAAATCTCTTTGTAATTGCAAATCTTTTTCTTCCATTTGTCTTGTATGGGAGTAGACTTGGTGTCATAGATTTCTGAATTGTTTTGAGGCTTTCCAAATGGTGTAATGCATCAGCAATGTACATTCCTACAGAGCATTTAACCTAATTAAATATTCCAGGGAATGTCTTGACAAGTGTCGTAGCAAACACCATGAAGATCGATTTTTTTTTTTTTTTTTTAAATCTAAATGGCAATAGATTGAGAAGTTGGAGATGCAGTGAGACCTGGTTAATCTGTAACACCAATCACTCAAATTAAGCGTGGAGGGACAGTATGAGGTGAAGAAGGCAAATGATACGTTGTGCTTTATAGCAACAGTAGTCCAATACAGGAGCAGGGATGTCTTTGTACAATTGTACAGGGCCTGGGTGAGACCACACCTGGAGTATCGTGTGCAGTTTTGTTCTCCTTATCTGAGGAAGGATGTTCTGGCTATGGAGGGAGTACAATAAAGGTTTACCAGACCTATTCCTGGAGTGGCAGGATTCACATGTGAAGCGAGATGGATCAATTTGAACTATATTCACTGATGTTCACAAGAATGATGGAGGCAATTTTCATAGAAAACTTTAACACTTCTAACAGGATAAATACAGGGAGCATGTTCCTGATGACTAAATTACCTCGTTGAATTCTAAGGAACCTAACCGGGTGCTTTTTTCAGTTCTTTTAACTATTATGAGGCTGCTAAACAGAGCGTCTGCTTGTAAGGATCTTTTCTTCTGATCTCATCCTGCTTCTGGGCTCTCTGGGTTATAAAAGCTCAAATTAGGAAATACTTGAACAATTATTTCAACAGGTAGCTTATCTAGTCATTTAGCTTAAGTCGCATAATATTTTTCAAAATGCTGCTTTAACCCACTGTTTAAAAAGTAGTTTCTGACTGTTTTTAAAAAAAAGTCATCTTCACAGAACTGAAAACCAAAAACCCATTTACCTCTACTTTAGAACCCAAGTTCCCAGGAATGATATAAACTTCAGCTCTGAGAGATTATAGTCAAAGAACATATTTGGGGTGTTGGGGCAGGATTCTGAACAGCAAAAGACAGATAACATTTTTTATTTATTGCTGTGAGGTAGAAAATGGCAAAGTCAAATTGTGTGCAGCAATAACAATGAGATAAATGTCCACATCAATTTTTGGAGATTTTAGTCATGAGAAAAATTTCAGTGAGATCACTGAGGGAATGATGTTGCTCTGTGTGATGGGGTTGGATATCTAATGGAGCTGGAAATTGATGGACATGGATGGTAATTCTGTGCTAAAACCGATAAGACATTGGGGAAGGTTGTCTGGGGACTGGTAAGGTCTGAGATCAGTCTGCATTATAGAGTCAGGTGTGTAACTGGCCTCACCTTTTAGCAGCTCAGCATCACTTAGAGTTATAGAGTTGTATAGCACGGAAACAAACACTTTGGTCCAATTTGTCTCTTGCCAACCAGATATCCTAAATTAATCTAGATTAATTTGGCCCATGTTCCGCTAAACCCTTCCTAGACATGCACCAACCCAGATGCTTTAAATGTTGTAATTGTACCAGCCTCCATCACTTCATTTGGCAGCTGATTCAATACCTCTGCATGAAAAAGTTGGCGTTAGGTCCCTTTTAAATCTTTCCCCTCTCACCTTAAACCTATTCCCTCTAGTTTTGGAATCTCTTACCCTGGGAAAAAGACCTTGGCTATTCACGCTATCCATGCCCCTCATGATTTTATAAACCTCTATAAGGCCACCCCTCAGCCTCCGACGCTCCGGGGAAAATAGCCCCAGCCTGTTCAGCCTATAGCTCGAGTCCTCTAACCCTGGCAACATGCTTGCAACTTTTTTCTGAACCCTTTCAAGTGTCACAACATCTTTCCGGCAGCTGGCAGACCAGAATTGAACGCAGTATACTTCATGCCTGATGTGTGAGGTGTTGCTTTCCAGGTTATTGTTTGAGCCAGTCACCACCCCTTGTGGTCATACCTTCTGCAAGAAATGTGTCGAGCGATGTTTGGATTACAGACCGTGCTGCCCTCTGTGCAAGGAGGATCTGAGAAAGGCAAGTTTTGCAAAGTGAATTCACATCAACCAGAGGTAAAAGGCATGCACGACCGTGCTTGTGGGAGTTGGGAGGCACGCACAAACATGGTACATGGGCTCACAGGCTGCCTGGTCTCATGGTACATGGGGGAATTAACGGCTCTGTCTGAAGTTCTTTTCTCTGCTATTCTCCACCAAACCCCCACCCCACCCAGTTCCTGCAGCAGAGGCAGTATCGGGTCACCCAGCTCCTTGACTCTCTCATCAGTGTGTATTTCCCCACGGAATTCGCAGAGAGGAAACGGCTAAGTGAAATCGAAATGGCGGAACTGTCCAAGTGAGTGGGAGCTCCCTGAGGTGAGGGTGGAAGAGAAGTGGGAGGGAAGTAGGAAGGGGGTGGGACTGGGGGTTGGAGAGGTAAGGAGAGGAATGTGTTGCAAGGAGGGAGGGGGATGGGCTTGGGAGTGGGAAGGGGGAGGGGAAAGGAGAGAGGAAGCTGGGTGGGGGAGGGAGGGGAAAGAGGGTGGGATTGGGAACAGGATAGGTATAGGTGGGAAAAGGAAGAGTTGTGCTGAGAAATGGAGGTTGGGAAGGTATGGTTTATAAGACCATAAGGTACAGGAACAGAATTAGTCCATTCAGCCCATCGAGTCTGCTCCATCATTCAATCATGCCTGATATGTTTCTCAACCCCATTCTCTTGCCTTGATCTCCTTACTAATCAAGAACCTATCTCTGTCTTAAATACAATCAATGACTTTGCATCTGCAGCAATGAGATCCACAGATTCATCACCCTCTAGCTAAAGAAATTCCTCATTTCAGTTCTAAATGGCCGACCCTTAACTCTGAGGCTGTGCCCTTGGGTCATGGTCTCTCCTATTGGTGGCAGCATCTTCTCCACGTCCAGTCTGTCCAGAGTTGATTGTGAGAAAGAGGTCAAAGATAAGGGGTGGTGTTGAGGGAAGGGCAAAGGTGGAGTGGGGGCACTGGGGAGGCCTGTGTAGTGCTAAGGGACTCTGTTTGAAAAGAGGATGGGAACTGGCAAACCAAAGTGATGTGAGACAGAAGAATTGGTTTGAGATGAGGTTCCTGTTGTGTGTTTGGGTAAGAAGGTACAGTGAATGTTTGGCAGGGGAGGAGTAGTAATTGAGGGAGACTGTGATGGGAGAGGGCAGAAAGGGCAGGGAAACAATTTTTTTTTTAATGGTGCGTCACGTGAATATTTGAGCTGGTTGATGCTGCTAGTAATTGACTATATAAAGCTGTGAATTATATCTGTTTTCTTCTAGTTTGACGAATGACATTCCAATTTTTGTCTGCACAATGGCATTCCCGGGAATCTCCTGCCGATTGCACATCTTTGAGCCCCGCTACAGACTGATGATGCGACGATGCCTGGAGACAGGAACTAAAACATTTGGAATGTGCATATATGATCGTGGAAAAATGTGCGTGCAGTGATCTGGATTTAGTTGAGATGATCACAGTTACTGTTGCTGTAGTAACTGTCCCCATGGGGCACTTGCATGCCAGCTAAGGATACCCTGTCAAACATATTTCATTCTGTGATGTGCTGGATTGCGGATACAGAATTTTAGAAAGCTTAGTGGTAATGTAACACTCATTGGGAGGGGTTTGGTCTAATGTAACACGTGTTCTGTGTAGGGTTGTTCATCGAACTGTAGAGCAGGGAAAAAGACTATTTGGCCCATTGAAT